CCGGCGGCGGGGCGGCGGGGCGGCGCGGAGGTCCGGGCTCCCCTGCGTGCGCGGAGGGTCCTGCAGCCTTCTCGTTCTCTTTCTCGGTGGGATTTCTTGCCTTTTCCCAAGAGGAGGGCTGGCGGCCTCCGGCAAATTAGGAGAGGGCGAGGGGAGAAAATGCCAAGTCTTGATTTCTCTCCACCTCTGCTCCACCCACCCCGGTCCTTTCCAAAAAATAAAAAAAGATGAGGACTGGACGGAGTCGCAGAGCGAGCGCACGGCCCGGCTGCTGCCCCGGCGGCGCGTCCGGGGCGGGTCCGCGCGTCCGCCGCAGCCGGGGGGGCCGGCAGGGTCTCGGCGGCGCGGCGCTCGGAGCGGCGTCCTCAGCCGAGGAGAAAGAGGAAGCGCCCTCCCAGCCCGAGCGCGCAGCGCCGCGCTTCAGCCATCTTGCGCGCGTTGGGTTATTTCAGAATCATCTGTTTAATAGAGCAGCTGCGTCCCCGGCCCCTCCTGCCCTGCATCCTGGGGTCCCGCCCCCTTTTAATAATGATCTCGATAATAAAAATGACCGGCGGGCCGGGCGGTGCGCGGCCGCCTTTCCTGCCTCGGCTTGCGCGGCGCCGGCTCTCCGCCCCCAGGAAGACCGGGGTGCGGGGAGGGCCGCGGCCCTCGGGACCGGCGGCGGGGCGCAGAGGACACAATGGGCTCGGAGCGGGCGGAGGCCGGGGGCAGAGGCTGCGGGGAGCCGGGCTCCCGGACCGGGCGAACGGCGGCGGGGGGCGGCCCCCCACATCAAGGCCGGTCCCGCTACTTGGGCAGGGGCCGAGTGACGAGAGGGGGAAGGGACGAGGAAGCGGCCGGCGGCGCCTTTAATCTGGGCCCGCGGGCTCAGCCCACCCGGCCCGGCCCGGCCGAGCGGACGGGGGCGGGGCAGGGCGCGCTGTCCGGAAGTGCCGTCCGGCCGCCCGGCCCCGCCCCTTTCCCTGCCGGGATCCGGCCGCCGCAGAGGCCGCAGGTGCTATTGGCCCCAGTGAGGCTCCGCCTTTTGGGGGCGGGGCCGTCCCGATAGCCTCACGTGACTGGCACTAATTTCGGTACCTAGAACGCTGGGCTGGGTGGTTCCGCGCCTCCTAGAAGAGCGGTGGTGCATCTCGGTAGTGGGACCACTGCTTCCTGGCCGTCTTCTCTCCTTGCTCTTTTTACAGAGGCAGAGGAGGGCTTGTCAACCAGTGTGCCCATCTGTCCAGCAGTTTCTGTGTTCGCAGTACCCTCCCCACACTCTTGACGTTGGAAACTACCCAGCAAAGTAGGCATGACCCTTCTTCTATTAATATGGACACTGAGGCTTAGAGAACCGAGCCCATTCGTTTATAAATACACAGAGTAACAGAAGAATTCACGTGCCGGGCATTTTTCTAGGCCCTGGGGAATCCCTGGAAGACATAGGATCCAACCCAGGGCCTTGCATGTGCCCGGCAATCCTCCTACTGAAGAGCACATTTTAAAACATTATGTGGGGGCTGGGGATAGAGCTCAGTGGCATAAGCGCCTGCCTGGCAAGTGCAAGGTCGTGAGTTTGATCCCTGGGACTTGACAAAAAAAAAAAAAAAACCTGCCCAGGCCACTCTACTGTTGGGGCTGGGGATATAGCTCAGTGGCGTAAGCGCCTGCCTGGCAAGCGCGAGATCGTGAGTTCAATCCCCGGTACCGCAAAATAAATAAATAAAAACATATGTGGGGGGGCCAGGGATATAGTTCAGTGGCATTAAGCACCTGCCTGGCAAGCGCAAGGTCCTGAGTTCGATTTCCGGTACCAAACAAACAAACAAAAATATGTGGGGGCCAGGGACCTAGCTCAGTGGCACAGCGCCTGCATGGCAAGCGTGAGGCCCTGAGTTCGATTCCCGGTACAAAAAATATATACATAGATAGACAGATATGGATAGATAGATACTTCTGTGGTAAGAGCAGAGGCACACATAAAGGCGGTCTGCAAAAGTGATGTGTGAGCGGAGACCTCAATGTGCACAAGGAGCCAGGCAAGTGACAGCCTGAAGAGCGCTGCTGGCTAAAGCAGAAACATGCAGAAGCGGAGCAGGTATGTCCCGGGCAGAGGCCGGCTGGGAAGGGGGCCGGGATGGAGAGCGTGCGGACGTGAGCTGCCTGTGATAGCTGTTAGACCCGCTGTGTGTTTTGGAAGTGGAGCCAGTAGGACTTGTGGATGGACTGGACTCGAGGTAGAGGGGAGTCCATGCAGTGACGACAGAGGGCTAGGACCGGAGTCCAGAAGTATGTGGCACACCCTCCTGAACTTCAGACATGTATGTCTATATTTTATATATGTATCCCAAAGTGTTTTTAATTTTTCTTCCTTTTTTTCTTGCAGTACTAGAAATGAAACCCAGGGCCTTTCACCTGATAGCCAAGCACTCTACCACTAAGCTATACGCCCAGCACCCCTTTTATCTCCAGTGCTGGGGATTGAACCCAGAGTCTTTGCATTGAGTTACAGCCCCAGCCCCTTGTGATTATTATTACTTTTGGGACAAGGTCTCACTCTATAGTCTAGGCTGGTCTTGAACTAACAGTCTTCCAGCTTCAAGCTCCCAAGTGCTAGGATTCACCTGGCTCCCCCTAGGTCAGTCAATCTTCTTTCTTTCTTTTTCTCTTTTCTTTCTTTTTCTGTGGGGGATTGAATCCTGGACCACACACATGCTAGGCAAGCACTCTACCACTGAGTTATACTTTTATAACTAGTGTACCTACTTTTTAATTCCTAATAGTGCACCTATTTTTTAATTCTTTAATTCTTGATTTATATATACATATATATTTGTGCAAAGATATGGGGTTCAGTATGATAATACATTATACAACATGAATGAGCAAAATGGTTTTGTCTTTTTGAGACAGGGTCTCGCTATGCAGTTCAGGCTGGCCTTGAGCTCTCACTTTGTAGCCCAGGCTGGTCTCAAACTTGCAATGATCCCTCTGCCTCAGCCTCCCAAGTGCTGGGATTACAGGTGTGCACCACCGTGCCTGGCAAACAAAATGTTTTAAAATGTCTCCTATGTATCTGGGCGTGGTGGCCCCCACCTGTAATCCCAGTGCTTGGGAGGCTGAGGCAGGAGGATCACCATTTGAGGTCAGCCTGGACTGTACAGTGAGCTCAAGGCCAGCTTGAACTATACAGAGACCTTGTCTCAAAACAAACAAAAATAAAATGACCCCCTAGGACTTAGGCACCAACAAAAGCTGGCCATTTCCAAAGAAGGGGGAAATTGAGGATTAAGTTTTGGTATAAGGGCTTTCTAAGTGAGGTAGAGGTGGCTCAACTATCCCAGTGGAAATGCTGAAAGGCAGTAGCACATACAGCCTCGGTGGGGAGATGCGTCCTGAGACAGAAACTTCAGGGCATCAGAAACTACTGTAAATGGTAAACTGAGATTCAATACAGTGCACTCTGTTTGTCTTATTTGTTTTTTGAGACAGTGTCTTGCTATGCAGTTCAGGCTGGCCTTGAATTCACTATGTAGCCTCGGCTAGCCTCAAACCCATGGCAATCCTCCTGCCTCAGCCTCCCAAATGGTAGTATTGCAGGTGTGCACTACAATGCCTGGCTTTCCAGTCCAGTTTGAACTCTGGGTCCCTGAACCTTGAGGAGACAGCCTGCGCCTTTAGCACTCTGCATTCCCCACGAGAGAGGTCATGTGCTGGACACATGAACACACGGGCGAGTGAATGCATATCTGAGTGAAGGAATAAGAAGGAAATGGCTTCCAAGCTCCAAGCCTCAGTGCTATGCTCTAAAGATGGTACAAAGAAACAAGGTCTACGCCAAATGTGGTGGCGTGTGTCTACAGTCCCAGCCATTAGGGAGGCTGAGGAAGGAGGATTGTAAGTTTAAGTCCAGCCTGGGCAATTTCAAAAAAAAAAAAAAAAAAAAAAAAAAATCTGGTGATGCAGCTCAGTGATAGAGCTCTTGCCAGCATGCACAAGGCCCTAGGATCATGATCTAGTACAAAGAAGAAGGAAAAGAAAAGTCATAGTGGTACAAGCCTGAAGTCCCAGCTACTCAGGCTAAGATGGGCAGATCACTTGAGTGGTCTTTGAGATTAGCCTGAGTAACATAGCGAGACACCATCTCAAAAATAAGTGAACAAGTAAATACATGCATCAGATCATGCCACTGCTTTGTTCAAACTCTTCTAATGGTATCGGGGTGTGGTGGCAAAGGCCTATAATCCTAGCACTTGGCAGGCTGAGGCAGAAGGATCACCAGTTTGAGCCCAGCCTGGGCTACATAGTCAGACCCTGCCTCAAAAAGAAAACAAAATTTTCCCAGAATAAAAGCTGAAGTTTCTAAGTGCCTCCAGGGCCCTGCACAACCTGGCCTCTAGCTGCCGGCCTCACTGCCTCTCCCTTCCTGCGCCAGCCACCCCTGTTCCCCCGTGCTCCTCAGGCACACCCGGCCCGACCTGAGCGCCTGTCTTCCTAGCGGCTCTTCACTCCACCCGGCCTGTTTCCCCCACGTGGCTCTGTAGCGCACTCCTTCCTGCCATTGAGAGTCTTTATTCAAATGTCACTGTGCAGCGTGGCCTTCCCTGACCTAGTTAGAAGTGCTCCTCTCCCCGGCCCTGTGCCGCTGCCTCTGCTTCCCTCCACAGTGTGTGTCTCTTATATTAAATTAATATAAAATATGTGCTTATATTCACAGATGTATACATGTATGCTTATAGAAATGCTTTACATATAAAATGCTTTATGTATATAAAATATTAATATAAAATTGCCTGTTAGCCAGGCGTGGTGGCGCAAGCTTGTAATCCCAGCACTTGGGAGGCTGAGGCAGGAGGATCACTGCAAGTTTGAGACCAGCCTGGGCTACAAAGTGAACTTAAGGCCAGCCTGAACAGCATAGTGAGACCCTGTCTAAAAAAGACCAAAAAATTAAAAAAATAAAATAAAATAAAATTGCCTGTTGCTCATCCCAAAAACATAAGATCTGGGGAAGGAGGGGTTCTCATTACTGACGCACCCAGGTGCTTAGCATGAGGCCTGGCACAGATGCCCAGTGAGTATTTGGTGACTCCATGCAGACTGTTTCTGGCTGATCCAGGCTGGACCAGTCATCTTGACTCCATTCTCCCTTTCAAAACTGGGTGTGGTGCTGCACACTGTAATCTCAGCACTCTGGAGGCTGAGGCAGGAGGATTGCCATGAGTTTGAGACCTGCCCGGGCTACGTACTGAGTTCAAGGCCAGG